CGCCGGACGGGCCGACGCCGGTGCACCGGCCGGCCGAACACCCAGATGCAGTCTAGTGTGTACGACAAACGTTTATCGAACGTTCAGTGGGAAATGCAAAACGCTTCTAGATTTTAAAGTTGTTAGCGAGTGTAGGTACCGCACTTCGCACTCGCATCCGGTACCTACCTGTTAAAGTCTACGCTCAAGTTTATGAAAGCTTTATTGTTGGATTTTTATTGAGAGATTTTAATAAGTTCCACGCTATAATGACATTACATATATTATATAAAGATGTTGTCCGTCAAATTAATAGAGATGTTAATGATATGATAATTAAGATGTTTGATGTAAATTAAATTATTAAACAAACTTGTAAATACTTTAATTAGACGCGTCTTCAAAACCGAAGCATTGCCGTGTTTTAAGATCAAATATAGATGAATCTTAATTTCTAAGATTTACATTTTATTTATTTTAAAAACTTAACATATACTGACGCCCTCTATACCTACTACCATACAGTAGAATAAATGTAAGCATTCAAACAAATACGCAGGTCTCAAAACATAGATGGCGCTGTAATCTAAATTTCAACTTGTACCATGTAAAAATAAAATGTTAAAACGATTTGATATTTGCTCTGAGAATTTTAAAAACATATTCTATTTCACTACCAGTTTTAAGTCAATAATGGATTAAGTTAATAAGTACAGTACAAATTCTCAGAAATATGTTTAAGATATGTATATTAGTAATTGTACTATTAGTAGATATGATAAAGCTAAGTTAATCTATGTGTTTCATAATTGCTCACCACATCCCTTAAATTATCCTACACCTCTAATCTATTAGTGTCAATCGATACAGGATTTTACCACGAGTTTTCATTGCCGAAATACCAATACAAAATACTATAGTTATCTTGCTTTTTTCAAAAAGGCTGAGTAGGTTAATATTTTTTTATTCTTAGTATGAACGAGTCGGGGAGAGTCGCTTTAAGTTACATAAGCAACACCTATGAACATCTACAAAGCCAGATTATAAGAAGTTTAAAAAAATACTGCAATTACGGCATTTGAGATATCATACGACAGCTTCAGCAAGTCATGTTTAAGATTATCTTTAAATAAACTATTTTAAAGATAACGTAATAGGTCACCGATGAGGAAGCAGTTTTTAAAAAAGGAGCGGCGCTTTTAGTTCGTAGCGCGCGGTGAAGCAGTCTGTGAAATGCGGTAGTACGGTATATTATTTGAACCTATACAACCATCAGATCAGTATTAAATACGATACAAACCATTCGTTTTAAACCATGATACTTGTAGTTTTATTGAAATGAACAGTGCATAACTCTGATTACGACGCACACAAAAATTATACTAAGATCTTATTTAAAGTGTAACGCCGCAAATTGTCTTAGAAAATAAAGGTTTTCAAAATATAATATCATAATAAGATTCAGTGAAATAAACCTATACTAATTAATTTCATAAGTAGCCATACGTTGTGTGGTAGTACAAGATTGTATGAATAATAAAAATCTATATGCACACTGGTAAGAGTGAATGATTTCACATTTCTGTCTTAAACGTACTTAAACCACAGAACTGGAATAACTGGCAACCTATTATAGCTTAGTGACTACCAACACCAAAACAAAAGAATAACATAACTCACCTCAACGCCGGTCACCC